AAATTTAAAGCAAAACTCTTTTGGCCAATAGGCACTACTATTTCAATACTCGCAACTGTATATATGTGTATGTAAGTGTCATGAAGTCGGCGGAAGCGGATCTCTTCCTGGTAGTCAGCGAAGTTAGTCAAAACGCTGCSCAAAACTTGGCTGCAGCGRGTCGAGTTTTGCGAAATAACTTTGCTGACTGGCGCATTGTAAATCACTTTTGCAATTTAAATGCTGGCCGCGCAGCGCCGAGGAGGCTGAAGSGCACCACGCCTTGCTATCTGCAACTGCAAAATAAACAGTYAGACAACGTGCGATTCCAGCAATTGCGAATGCGTGAGTAGTTAGTGTAGTAGTAGTAGTTCAGCGGTGCTTAAAATTCGAACTCAACCGAAATAATTTCAAATGTAAACAGAGAAAATACAGAACTTCTATCGAGCTTGCACCCTCGTTGGTCACTAGACAGAGGATTGCTTAGAAAGAGCGGTGGACGATAAGAAATKGTTAACGAAAACTGTTGCTTTTGGGAGCACAGATTCATTAAARAAGAATCGAAAAAATAAAAAAATCGGCCATGTCGACCTTCGAACTTGTTCAGAGAGGAGGCTATATTTAGATCCACTCACTATGCACTCTAAATTTTAGGTGTGAAATCAAATTTCTGGTGCCGAAAAGTTCAGAATGTTGRAAAAGACCTTTGGAGGTAATTTYTTTCCCGAACAARTGATCTCGGTAAATACAAATTATTTAAAGAGRGTCTAGAACGCGTTGACGATAATCCACGTCCAGGACGGCCATTAAAATCAAGCGATGATCAACACTTCAGTAAAATAAAGCAACTGGTGCTTGAGAATCGACCATCAACAGTTAGAGATCTTACTTGCATCGTTGGAAAATCGGAAGGATCAGTGAAAAGCATTTTGAAAGATCACTTGGGTCAAGGAAGCGTGAAAGCACGATTGATTCTAAAATCACTAAATTTGTAGAAAAACAACGTTGCGTTATCGGCTGTGAAACAAGTCTTTCCGACTACCAAAATGTCATGAAGCGTCTTATTACTCCAAGACTAATGGATTTATTCTTACGACCAGAAACAGACGATCGTTCGGCCGCATATCGTGGCAAAGACGAGCCGAAGCCGAAAAACCAGGCCAAAGCAGGTCAAAAATCAAGGATATGTTGACAGTTTTTTTCGGTTACTAAGTTGCTGTGCACTACGAATTGCTTCCAAGCACTCAAACTGTCAACATAGATTTTGAAGTATAAAGAGTTTTACAGTTATGAACAAAATCTTACTATTTTTTGCCCACAGTGTAATAGATGACGCTTGTGTTGAAACACATCTCAAATTATATTATAAGTTATATGCATATGAATGTGTAACCCTAATTAAACAAACTAAATAATTTAAAAATAAAAAAGGTATTCTTTACCGCAAAATATTTAGCGCCACTTTAACCGCACGTAATTATGCAAGTGTTGCCTTGCCCTCAAAGGGACTTGATTTCAGATTAAGTTTAGGTAAATGTTTTAATTCAATTACATGGCACTTAAACTGTAAGCCAACAAGAGAAAACAAAAGCCAGACAAACAAACACCGCGATGAAAGAAAACTTTGTAAAAAACGCAAATTGGAAAAAACTTGCAAAAAAAGTTGGAAAAATCTGGTAATACTTGAGGGGCAGCTCGACTGCATTTCGACCGTTTGCCTTTGACCGTTCGCTTGAGCTTTTACGCCCTTAAGAACCTTAAGTTGAAAGCTTTTGCTTTTAAGAAAGCCGATGAAAAAATAACGACAATACAAACAGAACAAACGGAACGAATGAGAGGAGGGAGAATGCGAATAATGCTCAGAGTGGGGTTGAAGGAAAGTGGAGCGCGAAGACTACGTGCGTATGAAAACTGAAAAGTGCGAGCAAACAATATCGCCGACTTTTTGCGCGCGTAACTTTTCCTGTTTAGTTATTATACCAGTTTGATTGTAGTTTCCTCATTTCTCTTCTTCTTCTTCGTTTTTTGGTTGCAAGATAATTTTTGCTGTTTTACTTACTTCACATGCTAAAATAATTTTATTCTTAAGCTATTTTGTAGCTGCTTTTCAATTTATTGTTGTTGTGCACATATTTCAGCAAAAGTACCGTTAGAGTTTTGTGTGCGCACCACCGGGGCCAGGTTGGATTAATTTTAACTTTTCAGTTGTGATTCCCGTTGTATTTACCGCATTGCAAAGCGCCAAAGCAGAATGTCATATAAAGAAGAGCTACAAACACACACACACACACATATACAGGCAAACGTAACAAGGAAGGCCTGCGCGGAGGAAATGCTTGCACTCGTAACGCAAGCGGCAGCGGCGACAACCGCTCGACGGAAAGCGCCGGAAGGTGCAGCAATGTAAAGCCAGCGCCGGCGGAAGTGGTCCTTTGTGGATTATTATTATTGTTATGAACATTACTTAGTTTTGTTTACAGAAACACTAGCGCCAGTGTTTTGTTTGGCAGCGCGCTGAGACTGCGACCTTTATCTCTCTCCTTTAACATTTTTATTAACATTTGTTGCGCTGAAAATTTGAATTCCTTTTCAGTTTTTGCTCTTTAAATTGTAAGCTATGAAAATATATATTCATGGAAGTACATAAGTATTCTAAATCCTCTATTATTTTGCTTTCGCCAACTCTTAACTTTGCTCTGCATTAAATATGCGCAGTTGTTCTTGTTGTGCCGGCAATGTGCTTTTCGCGCAAGTTGACTTTTATGCATCTTGTCCCTTTGTTGCTATTTTTCTTTTCTTCAATTTTGCGAATCCGATTAGTTGTAATTATAGAGGTATAAACAAGAAAGCAGAGAAGTTACTAATATTTGAGGTACTCGATACTAATTTTCAAAATAATTGTCTCTGCAAATGGAAAAGAATCGCCGGAGCAACTGCAAACTATAACCATGATGGTGATAATCTTAATACATAGGTCTGGTAAAAGAGAGATAGAGTGAGTGAGAGAAGAAGATGTATGGAAGCAAGACGAGTTAACACCAAAAATCTCGGACCGGAATCTCAACAAACTCGATCCACTGCTGAAGCAGTTGGTGACTGATGAGTCACCTATGACAACGTCAAGTGAAAATGATGGATTTGTGAGGAGTCACGCTCAGAAGGTTGTACTACGTTCTTGGTGGGATTGGCAGGAAATCATCTACTATGCACAAAGAAACTCATCGATAGCGACTCAGCGTAAGCTGTTGTTGTTGTTGTTGTTATAGCGGCAGAAAACATTCTAAAAGACATTTCGAGGAATCGTGCCGAACTGACAGTCCTTGGCTGGATAAAAATCCCGGTCTTTTAGGAGTGCGAGCTCTTGGAGCTTGCCTGAGGGGTTTTGAGACATCCAACTTTTAGTCCAGACCCAAGTGATTTTTGATTATTTATGTTGAATGACTTTTTGGTGAAGAAAATGCTTCAAGGAAAGGTAATGACAATCAACTGTATCCTTGTATTTTACTGAGGGAGAGTTTTTTCTATGGGAAAACACAAATCACAGATTTCCTGTGAGGCATAATTTATTTATGTTGAAAAATATTCGAAACAACGTTGATAATAATTGACTCAGTACTCACCCTAACCAACACACACTTAGACGTTACTAATTGTTTCTTACTGAGACCACCTTTAATTACACATTACTCTTTCTGCCAGAGACTCACGTCTATTTCGAGTTTTTATTTTAAACAGCATACTCAAGTCACACACAACTGCACAAACAAATGAAGATGAAATTGCACTCACCTTTCGTCCTGTCTGCTCGAAACTGGGCAGGAAGGCGGCAAATGAACCCTCCAACATGTCGGGGTTACCGCAAACGGCATGCCCGGTGTCACAGTAGTAGGAGCACTTGCCGTGAAAGCACAAGTTCGACGAGGGCGAGACGAAGAAGGTCCGTAATAAATTGTCGTCGGCGACTTGATAAATTTCCGTTGTAATGTTCAGTAGGCGACCGGTGACGGGCATGGCGCGACGAAACCCCAAAATTCTGCGAATAAAAGACACATAACTGTACATTTGAAATAATAGCAACACACGCAAGTAAATGGCAAGAAACACATTAAGCGACGGTGTAATGGCAATAAAATGCAATGTACGATGAATAAGCGCTTGTTGTAATCGTTGTAATGGCAAATGGATGGTTGCTTGTTGGAGGAATTAAAAAAGATGTAGCAGCGGAGGCTACATGTGTTTTACTTTTGGTGGACATGAACTAAAAAATGGCATGCCATAAGGCTTGAGTTGAATTAATGTGCTACAAATACAAATAAAATGAATTAAATGTTTGCGAGAGTGTCTAGAGGATTGTAAAATTTAGAATAACGCTCTGTCTACAAGCGCGCACATGTAAGAAATTCCTCACCAAAAAGCGTACTTAAAAAGTGGAAAAATAATAGAAAGTAGGTGCAGCAAACTCGGTAGGTGACTACACATTCCGTTGTCCTTGCAGCTTCCTCTGTTATGCGCCGTTTTGGTTGCTATCGAGAAGGCAAAACAAAAAATTCGAAGAAATTAACGGGCAAGAAGGTGGTTGGAGGTGCCCATGCATACCCCTACTCGTTTACACTCCACTGGAGTACAAATACTTGTAAGAATTAAAGCGTAATTCATGTTCTCTTTGGGATTTTCAGCCACGGCAAAAATATTTTTTTTATCCGAGAAAACAAAAAACCAAGAATTTGTGTACTCAGTCTTCACTCGCCAAGATTCATGTTATTGTGTAAAGCTTTGGACAAAGGCGGCAACATTGTAATAAATTTGTGTTTTGACCAGTAAATTGCATTACTTTCGATTTTCTTTTTCGAGCAAAAGTTCTCCTTTATTCATTTAAGTTCATTTGAGATTTAAGAATTTTCAGGAATGAGAATTTTTACTCGCCTCTACATCCAATTCATAAATAAAAAGGATTTCGCAAGGATGAAAAACGAGTTCTTTTAAGCCGCATCTTTTTAATTACAGCCAGATAATGAATAATAATATGTATGAATGGGCAAGTGGAGAGTCCAAAATAAGAAAATGACTATAAAATGAATACCGGCTGAGCGAATGAGCTTGCGAAATGAGTGAACGAAATTTATACTCATGAATGATTATTTTAATTCAATGCTCTGAATACATATAAGGTGATATTGATATGAGTTTGCATGCATTTTCACTCTCTATATAAGCCTGGAAAACGGTGTTTGGTATATTTCGTGCCAGTTTCATCTGTTCTCTCACTCACCGATCCAAATGAAAAGCAGCGATTTCTGCATTGTGGCGCTCATAGTCCGTGAAATAGAAGTGGTTCGGCAGAGTTTGCTGTTCGCGGGGAAATCTGTAAAAAATTATAAGATTTGAAAGTATAATATGAATGTGTAGAGCAAAAAGAAAAAAAAACTAATACAAAATGTATGGATTAAACTGAATCTTTATATATAAATAAAATATCATTGAACCAGGTTGTTCAATAAGTTTACTCGTTCGATAAGAGAGGACACAAATTCAATATCGTGCAGTGATTAAGTTTTAATTTTTGGTAGGTGTAGTGCCAAAAGAAATTCACGAACGAATGTAAAAGTGTATAATGAGTGATTCACCTACAATTATAATAGTGGGAAGATGGGTTGCTGAGTTTAAACGTGGTCGTACTAGCCTTCAAGACAAAATACAGGATATGGTTTAGGAGATCATCGATTGACTGAGAGAGATTTAGTAGAGGCTCTATTCATCTCATACATCGCAGTGTGTGCCATATTTTAACTGAAATTTTGGGTTTCAGAAAGTTGTGTGCACAATGGGTGCCGCATTCGCTAACAATGAAACAAAAACACATTCGAGTGCGTCTTTCTTAGCAACATTTGGAACGTTTTAAAAGAGATAAAGTGGGGTTTGTGTGTCGATTCATGACTATGGTTGAGACTTGGGTCTACCATAATGACAAGAGGCTGAAAAGTGGTGTGAACCTGGTTGTTCGGCTAAGAATATTATGACATCAGTTTTTTAAGATGCGAGAGGAATTTTGTTTGTGGATTATTTGCAAACTGGTAACTCAATTAATTTAGAATATTATTGCAACCTTTTGGACCAGTTGAAGGAAAAAACGCGTGAAAAAAACACAATTTTCACAAGCAAAATATCTTTTTTATTTTTTTTATTTTTTGTATTTACGTTAATTTAAAACTGTAAATTCACTCACACTGTTGTATGCATAGATAATTTTTAAAGTCGCAGTATTTGCACAATATAAATAAGTTTAGCTAGTTTGATGGTCTTTAATTGCGTAAGAACACGATTTCAGTTTGCATAAAATTAATTTTTCCAAGCATTTAACAATATTTGCAGCACCGATAACAGTTTGCATATACGCGATTGCAAGAGCCAATAAAGTTGCGTCCATTTTCACTGTTGTGCGTGTCTATGCCGTTACATGCGTGATATTTATTGCGTTTTCCACTGACGGCTACCGCACGCACCTTGACATTGCCAATCACGTTATTAAAGGCAGTATTAATCTGCTACATTTGCATTTTGCCATGCGACACCACCCCCTTCTCCGCAATAACTCCATAACCGCTGCGACTTTTATTACTTACGCCGATTGCATGGCAAATGGAGCCGCCATAAATTGCTATCAGCCACGATTAAATATGTTTATTGTTGTCGTTGTCATTACACACAACACCAACAATTAACGACAGAAGTCACTCGCTGCTACCGTGGCGTATGAGTTATGCATGTGGCTGAGCGACTGACTGCGCATGCGCGTGTGGATTCTGCATATGAATTTTTGTTGAATGGCGGAAAGTCGTCGTAACTGGCAGCGGTGAGTACCGTTACGTGCAACAGCATATTTATGTGGCCACCAGCGACGCTTAAGTCTGCATGGTTGCAATGCTTGCAATATGGTCATTGGAATTCACAGTAATATTGCCGGCAATTTCACAATTCGTTGCCGCCGTCAACAGTTAATGCGAATTCCGTTGAATTGAAATTCTTTGTGATTGTTGATTGAAGTTAAGGCAAAATCATTTAATAGCCTTGTTAATATTAATTCGCCCTACGCTTAAACTGTTACTTACTTAATTGTGGCATATGTGGCACATGCAAATAGTGTAATTACCTCATTGGCTTCATCAGTGCTTTGATATCGCTGGGAAATTCTATAATCAATTTCAACTGCGTGCCGCCCTCCTTTTGCACTGTAAAGAGAGAAAGAATAATTGAAATGTAAATATGTGGTAACGGAGCACGTGACATTAAAATACATAAGAATAATACATGCATAAACAAAATCTGTAGCACAGCGGAATCACATAAGGGTCACACCCAGTGTGAAATTTAATAAAATCGATTTTTTTCATATTTCTATTATAAAAAAAATGTAAAAATAATATACTATCAAAAATAAGAGGTTAAAGCGATTATAAAGCCTACTCAAATTTAAAAAAAAATCTGAAATATTGATGTGAGACTTTTTCATTGAAAATTAGACGTTTTTTGATTATTATATCAATATAAAGAGAAAAAATTATATTTGAGGTAAAAAAATAGAATTAAATGTTTCGGTTAATACAAAATACGTTTATGTTTAATTAAGTAAAAGAAAATAATCTTTGCACATTATATAAATAAAAAAAAATCATAAACTTGGTTACTTTCATTTCTCACATAAATTTTTAGGTTATGTGAAAAATTGTGTAAACAAAATTTGTAGATCTCTCCATTATTTATTACAAGTCCATATAATTTTTTCTATGAAATTAGTTTTACTAGAAACCGAGAAACATTATTTTAATTCTTAAAAATTCAACCACGCCCTCTCGTTCCTTTTCTCGACTTCAGATGGCCTGTAAATTATATTTCCCGTAAAGTTTGTTATTTTATCTTTCGATTCCGCTGGGTTTTAACCATATATGATTTAGTTTGTTTCTAAAAATGATCTTCCGTTGTCTAATAATACTTGCTGAAATGTTAATTTAAAATGCATGCGCGAGGGGGCGTATACGTAACATTCCGAAATAATTTGTGATTTCAAATGTAACCCATACGCCCAGGCGTCCTACGCGAAAATGCTTTGAGTTGCATTTGATATTGCAAAAACCGTTTTAAAAAAATATTACCCAACCATCTCCTCACACTAAAACAGAAAATGGGGGTGCTATTAACTACAATAACCGCTTTCGAAAATTTAGCTTAGTTTATATAAATAAAGACTTACAATAATCTACCCCGAATAGAATGTAAGGGCGACTTAAAACAGTTTGGAGCTGCCGCAATTGATTATTAGTAAAATATATGCAATCACGCTTTATGTGCTACTTCCGCTTCCGCAACTCAAAGTTTAAGCTAACTAGGAAAGTGCGAATCATAGGAAAATGGATGAATCGTTAATTATGGAAGAGAGTGTTAGAAACTAGCTTGATGCACTGCACTCAGCCACACTCGATTCAAATGCGCGGGATGCACAGGAATGTAAGCAGCAGTCGTGGAAACCATAAGCAGTCCATTATTCGAATGTGGCAATAACAACACAAGTGTACCGGTAGCAGTAGCACACACAGTAATGTTGTTATTATTGTTGGGCACACTTCCTTTTTTAAGAGAAGTAGACGCCCGCTGAAGAGTGAAGGCGAAAGTTGCGTTTCCGCACCGCAAAGTCAGCCGTCGGAATGGGTGCTTCTTTTCCACCAGCCACTGCTGGTTCTTCCAACAAATGAGCACACCAACACGCTCACACTAGTAGCATGCAAGAGTAAAGCGTGAGCATGCAGTTTGCGATCGGAACACGAAACTTTTCGTATTCGACCTTTTCGTGTTGTTTTTCTGTGTGGAAATGCGCAATTATTCTGATCCCGAGTTGTTAACAGAAACCGAAAACAAAAAATCCATCCAAATTGTAACACAAACAGCAAACACAAACACAGTGCGAAACTGCAAATTTAACCACAGCATTCATGCTGACAGACAATAAAATGAGAGAAGCCATAGTTGTTTTTCGGTTGCGTTTCCGTTGAAAAGTTTTCAGTTGCTCTGCTCAAACACTCACACTCGCTTTCGCAGTTGTTTTGTGATGCTTTATTTTGCTTTTGTTTGCATTTTTTAACAGAATTCCTAAATAGTGTTGATGGCTCGGAGTTGTAGTAATAAAATTTGGTGAAATATTTGAAAATGGAAATATATATTGATACAAAGTGATAGAAAGATGCAGCTGAAAATGGCTTTTTAATTCTAGTAAAATGCAAATAAGGCCATTTCTCAATAAGTTGAAAGCTTAATTCACTTAAGGGCCTCACAATTATGTAATCTATCCAAAAATGATAATTTTAAAAATAATGATTTTTTTTTTTTTGTTTTAATTCGCAAGCACCAAGCAAAAGCCTCGCTTAGTTCATAGAGATAATTTCAATATCGCTGCCTCATGTAGCACGCAACAACATCATTCATGTACTTGTAGTTGCAACAACAAGTACTTCAAGTGGCAACAGTCAAGCCGCGTTGAATTAAGTTGAATCGAGTTTTACCATCAACTTTGTTTCAACTTTACTCACACATCCGCACAAAACGGCAGAATGCGCCTTTATGTTGTAAACAAAAGCAGCAATTGTTGCCACGCACACAAGCAACCGGAATAACAACACAATTAGTGCAATTATGTAGGTTGCATCTGCAATGCCATTCATACCCAAGTTACAGTGGCTGCCAGCGCTCCTCTGACTGCGATCTTACCTACACGGGAGTGCTGGGCGAGTCTAATGGAATGGTTGACGTGCATACATATGAGCGCGGCAGTGTCGAATGTAGCAGGTGAAGGAGGAAACACAATTTGTTTGGCTAATTGTTGAAGTTGCGTGACTTCATTCACATATTTTTGTACATTTCCATTTCGTTTGTTGTAGCGCACGTAAGAGCATTCATTTATATTTTAGTCATTCTATATTTGAAGAATACCGACCGGTCTTATTTTACAATAAATATACACACTGAAGACATGTTAATATTGAAGCACTGTAAAGATGCTTTAAAACTAATACATGCATTTGCTTCCACTAAAGCTCGTTGTGCACTCGAACACAAATGGGGGGTAAACTTACAGGGGCTTGAGTGTTTTTGGAAAATTTTACTGAAAATTTTATAACTATTTATCAAACAGAGGGTGAAACATAAATCACTTCTTTTTTCGTGATTTTTAAAATTATGAATTATTTAATTAAATTCATTTCTTTTCCATGTAGTATCATAGAAATAATTTATGGCGCAATATTTCGACCTTTTCTTAAGAAATACTGCCTATTTAAATCTCTGAAGAGAAAGTAAGACCCACCGCTAATATTTTGAGGAAATATGATATTAAAGTATATAGATATAGTATTCTGCACCAATAAAAGATAATTTATCCTTACGTCCTCACTTTTAAAATGTCTATGGGGTATACAACACCTACGATCCAGTTTTTCAGCAAATATCGCTCAAAGTTTTCAATTAAATCATTCTGCGTTTTCTGAAACGAATATTTTAGTCTTGAAACGAGCAAAATACAAATATAAAGCCTACTATCTACTTCAATTTCTTTTTTGAAATTGACTTGCTTGAGCTAAGACATATCTGATCAATTGAAAAGTCCCTTTCCTACCATAATAACACAATTATTTATTTTTTTCATTTATTTATTTTTTTAATTCATCATAGTTCCTTTCAATAGTGATGCACTGATTATAGGGAGCCCCCTTTTCAATACCATTTTTGTGGTACGATTGTCCGTTGCTTCAAAATTGGCTTTCAGTTTCGGCGATCATTTCTTCATACAATGAAAATTTCTTACCAGCGGCATTCTTTTGAATTCTGAGGACAGAAAATCAACACTGTTGGTCTGATCTGGAGAATAAGATGGATACGAAAGTAATTCGAACTAAACCCAATTCATGTTTGTTTGGCAACCTTTTCACTGATTTAAGGACACGGTGCATTGCTCTGCCAGCACTTTATTTTCTTTCAACTGCGACCTTCTTCAAATAGTCCAAGAACTCACTTTGCCAAGAGCATTCTCATACCCAAATATTCCAGATAGTTGATATCTTTAGAGTGCCTGATATCTCGAACAGCTTCACTTTATGGTCATCCAAAATTATTTTGTAGGTTTCTTATGTTCTTTTCGGTAAAAACATCTTTTGGAGTACACTGCGTTCACAAGTAATATTTTATCAACTTTTATTCAATTTATTCACATTAGCAAAAGTTATTATATTAAAAGTGATATAATGCACAAACTAATGATTCGAAAACAGTTAAATTAATACAAGCGCYTTTTTTTAATTGCAGTAGCGCCATCTAGTTATCAGAGCACTTGAATTGATTCATTTGGGATCAACTTAGGTGCGACAATTGAGGATATCGCAAGCAAAAATGCACTCTATGTCTTTTGGTTAACAGATCTACTTTTTTTGGGGTTTCCATATATTCACTGCAATGCATTTTAAACAAGGATGTTTGGAGGTAATTAATTTTCAAATTAACTAAAGCAGTTTGAGTGACACTTTAATACATTTTSATTTCTAATTATGCTATTTTATATTGCCTTAATAGCTTTCATCGGAGCAAGCGCAGTAATATTAAATTTACTTAAAAAGTAGTGTAAAGATTTGATTCCAGCGAATTAAACGCTTTCGTAGAGTGAAGTTGCATGAGTTACCAAAAAAGCCTATTTTTCTCTTAACAAGTTTCAAATTTGGTGTATGTACTCACCGACATGCTGCACCGGCAACTTGATCATATCATGTATCACTTCGTCCACAATCGTGTCGTTCTCCTTGTAGAGTTCACGCTTAGATATGTGCCACTGGAAACGTTCCAAATTTGTTGCATTTTTGCTGTAAAAAATTAAAAAAAAAAATATTAAATTTGGGTATGAAACACTTAAGTAAATATGCAAATAGAACTCAGATCCGACAGCATGAATTTCCATATCGACGATTTCGGCTTCAGAGATAGAAAATTGCATGTTTTGGCAAGTGAACTGCGGCCGTCAAAATGTGTGTTATCGCACTTGAATTTTTGTAAAATATTCTGTTTTCACCCCTGAACCCGGCTCCGTGAATTTTGCAGTAAAAGTTTGCAAGTACCCGCTTTCTGGCTGTTTAACAATAAGTGAAATCAGCTTTGTGTTCACAAAAAACGCGAGAGTAAATAGAATTCTGATTTCATTTCTGTGCCACTTTCAATGTTCACTCAGCGCCTACAAAGTTCAGCAGTTCAATGCTACACAATTTATGTTTCCGAACTTTTTGGTATTTAAATGCATGCTGCCTGCAAATAACTGTCGCTTTGTGTAGTCGGACTAGTTTACAGAAACTAATGAAAAAATAAACAAATTTTGCAAGAAGGTTGTTGAAAAGCTTATTGTAACTGATTTATGTATGCTAAAGAGCGCATTTTTCTTAAAACATATGGCTGTGCATATGTATGATGTACTTGAGAGGATGTGAATTACTTGGAGAAACTCTTAAAAGTGACTCATGCAGTTGAATTCTTGAATTGACCACTTTTTGGTAGTTAAGTCATGTCTGAAACTCTCTCCCATCTCCTCTCAGCATTGTCAATGACCTGAGTATCCTCGAAAATCAACAATAACCATATAACAGGAATAATGCGTTCATTCCAGAGAAAGGCTTAGCTGGGACTCTGCGGACTCCTCACACACAACGAGTAGTTAAGCTACGAAGGTGATGTAAGAAGGAAGGTAAAACTTAAATATTTGGCTTTATGAACACTAAGGGACTGTTTAGCTCGCATAACAACCATCTGACGTTTGTCATTGTCCAATAACGGCATGTAAGAATACAAATTGTGAAACACAAACTATTTATAGAATGCACACCAGTAATTGAAAGTTCGTTTCATCACCTAAAGAAGCCTCCTGGCAGTTAATTCCACGTCGAAACTTTTACTTTACATTTTAAGGATAATATGAGCAAAACGTTTTAGTTTATAAAGCCTGAAAGCGGAAGTAACAGATGTGTCAATCTTCATCCAGAATATGGTAGAGCTAAATAGAGGGTCTGATCGGTTTTGTGGCAGAACATGTATTCAAGGACATATTTCAGATTTACCATACTCCTATAAAAAATATGGCAACTACGGAAAGTCAAAACTAAAAAGAAAAAAGCCATAATCCCAGAAACGAATAAATGTTCCTGCTGGGACTCTTCTTAACTTGGTCAACGATTATCATATGTTCAAGTATGTAGATTCCGCTGTTGGCTGCATTCCAGCCAAATGCATTTTGGCATAGTTTTCCTGCAATTTGCCCCTAATGATATGCAAACAAGCAGCTGCAGCAGCAATGGCAACGACGACGGCGACGGCAACAACAACGGCAGCCACGTTGCCACCAGGCGCATCCAAATGAACGAAGAACGGAACATAGGAAGTCGAAATATGAGTACGGAACTATTCGTAAGTATGTGAGCGGTATGACGCCTCACTAGCTTAGTTGCAGCAAAGTGCCAGATAACAAGCGGGGTGAAGGTGCATGCGAAACTTGTACAGTTTCTTCGAAATTTGCGTAAAAAAGTTTCGACTACTGCTAGTGAATTGGATAAATAAGAATTGGGATAAGTTGCACGACGATGCCATAAGGAGCTCCTTTGGGTTGTACTTATGAGTGCTGCAGTGGAATACGCGTGCAAGCGCATGTGTGGGTATCTTGTAAAAATCGAAACGAGCGAAAACATTAAAGTGTTCACATGTATTTGTGTATGTATGGGTATGCACATATCTCAGCCACTCAACTGTTCAATGTAGCATACGCGCTTTTGTCAGCATTCATTTAGCATTTGCTTGTCGCTAGTGCACTTGGGAATGCGCCGTGGCGTATGAGTGATGCTCGCTTTGAGGCTCACAGCTGACTAACAAAGCTCATTTGTGTTTATAAAGTTGTGTTAAAGCTCAATACGCTGATGGAGGTGATTGATTAAACATGCTTTGATTGAATTCAAATTGCATTTTTCCAGTCGATTTTTCCTCGCTTTCAGACGCTTTTATAAGGCGTTTATGTGAAGTGACAAATTTTAGTGCTAATAAAGAGAAATAACAGCACAATGGCTGTGCAATTAGTGTGGATCATAGCCTAACATTTCTATCTTTATGTCATTTAATCAGTTAAAACTTCATGTTGTTAGTTAAATGCATTTTCGCTCTGTTTTACGCTGCTTGTGCCCTTCACATTTGCATTTTTTCTATTCAATAAAAAACGTGTAACTGTGCAACTACTCCAAGGCACCGTGAGCACGCTTTGTAGAAGTTAAATAAATGGCATGATAGTGGCCTCGTTTGATTAGTGTTCGCGTGTAGTTTGAAACAAACTTCTGCACCAAGTTTACAATCCGTTTTACTTTTTGATAAATCGTAAAATTTCTAAGCATACTAGAATATTGTACAAAAAGTTGCAATATGGGTTCAAGAAAAGAAATATGTATTTATTAACGAAGACACCACTTGTGTAAAAAAAAATTTAAACTGTAAATTTGGATAAATGTATTTTCGATGGAGGACTTTTAGCACTTCACACTCCATTTCTGACTTTTCTAGCACATAAGCACGGTTTTAAATTAATTGGGGTTCAATATACTGTACGCAACGCTTCGATTTTGAGTTCATCTGAGCAACAATGGAGTATTAATATTATAAAAAGTGGTTCCTTTACAACTTTCAGTCGCTTTTCTTTCTCCATTTCACTTCTGTTAATGCCATTTGAATTGTCATACATACATTTCGTTATATTAACCGTGAAACAACGTATCAACAAACAAATCGAAAATGAGTTTTTTTATTGCTTGCGCTTCACAACATCACATTAAATATATGTGGCATGAAATTTTCAACTTCCTTTGTCAGTTATAATCAATTTATAACCCATATATAAGTAATATATAACCCAAATATAACCATTTTATAACCAATACATAACAATTTTATAACCAAAACTCAAATTTTATTTTAATATTAGTGGTTTCAATTATATCGTTTTTCCTTCGACTGTAAACTGACTGAAAAATGATGTTACGTTATTTCGCATTTTAGGTGACGATATACGAGTACATACTATATACCCTAAAACGAGTCTTAACTGAAGAGTGTGAAGGCAATAATAACAAATACTAAAAATCACAGCAATCAATAGATAGATGAGTATAAAAATTAGAGCTTTAGTATTCACAATCGCTTTTGGGTAGCATTTCAAATAATTCCCGAAATCCAACATAAGTCAGGAAATATAAAAGAAACCATCAAAAGCAAAATCTCCCTTACTATTAATTTTATAATATTTTATTAATTTCTTTCTTCATTACTTATTAGAAAGCCAATTGTATTTCAGCGCGCACAGCTTCTCAAATTCAACCGTTATATGTAAATCAACTCAATGTACGCCGAGGGCCGCACGAAATGCGTTGCGTGAGGAATTCGAAAGATTTGACGTTGTAAACGCTTTTCTAATTTATGCACGAAAACGCTATGAAAAATAAATCCTTTTGTAATTGAGTCACGTAAATTAAATGCGCAACATTCTTGTAGATCTGAAGTATTGCACGCGTTGGCGTTGGCATCGCACACCAACACACACACTGATTTTCCTTTCAGTTTCTAATTTTGCACTTTCACTACCAATTCGCCCCCCACTATGAATGTGTCAATGTCACAAATGCTCACTTACGTACATACCTACCCATACACAGGTCTATATGTATGTATGACTGTATATGAAGGCAACATGGCATCACTGCCACTGGTGAATGAGAGCACGCGCCGAGTAAAAATGGGCAAAAGCAAATTAGCTTAGTGTATAAAACGATTTGAAATAACCCGCTGAGCGCCTTTCGCCATCAACTACGTGTCCGCTATGCCGCTGGGAGTGGCGAAGGTGCCGCCGTTTGTGCCACAACAAATACCGTTATAGCGTGGTTGCTTGTGACTGCAGCAGCTTCAGCAGCATGGCAGATTAAAATCAGTTTGTTGCAAGTTAAATAAAATCTTTCAGAAATTTTATGCAGAATTAAAGCTTTTTTCATAGAGACTATGGTGGGGGTGTGGATTGTAAATATTAAAAATTCATTACAAAATCTAATTTTGTTTCATTCAGTTCTGCATGGAGGTGTACTATTAGTCAGTTTAGTCATCAGCCTGGCGTTCTTTATATTCTTTGAAGACTTCGGGTATTGAAAAGGACTAAAATAGAACTGGATTATAGAATAAGAATACAATAACTTAAAGTCAAAGCATGATCTCTCGGAAAAACCTCGCTAAATTTAATATGATTCTCCTATATAAATTATTATTGTTATGTACAAGGCTGTAATCGGCAACTCTTATACCCCAATTGTAAGAATTCCCTTCACTTTATGGTGAATAGACATTGAAATTCTTTCAAAAAGGAAATTACTAAACAGCTGATGTCCTAAATAACTGTACAAAGTTCATTAAGACACCAACACAATGCAAATAGCTACAAAATGGTCAACACAAAACTTTCCGCTTCCTATTCAGCGAGCAGAAACGCACAAAGATGTCTTGAATAGAGCGCTAGATAGGCAGTCAAAAAGTCGTGAAAGAGTTGTTATGATAACAAAAGAGCTGACAAACTTTACGCAATAAGCAGCCAATGCAGGCAGCGACCACAACGTCAACAACATGAAAATTTAAGCACCGTTTTGGCTTTCGCAGATTCTGCTGCGATCGAAGCTGTAAGGGACGTTTAATATAACAGCTTTTGACGGCATAATAATAGCAGCTGTCAAGGCAACTATGTGAAGTGCTGCATAATAAAGACGGCGTGGCATTAAACCAAAGCTTAGTGACATTCGCGAACAAACGCCGGCAGGGATCAGAAAAATCCAAGCTCAGCTCTACCTTGCTGGAATAATTAAAAGTTAAAAATGTATAAATAATTGTTAAGGTTGAGCGCAGCATTTTTAATAAAGCTTAAAGCCTTGCGCAGGTATGCTTATGCAATACGGCATAGTTATGTAATACTGTAATAGCAAACAAGCACTAAAGCATATTTTTAATATTATCTATCTCAGGACATAAGCCAATATTTCCTTACTCAAGTTGAGAAAGTAGGGAGAGGAATAGCGCGAGCGAAGCTGAAACTTGAAAAACTATCGCTCAATGTCGCTCAGTGTGGAAGTGTGGAGAATACTGAATATTTGGAGAACTTTAAATAAGTAAAAGGAAGGAAAAAGATTCAAAGGAGGACTAGTGTTGTAGCGGTTTAACCCAAGTACTCTACTCGGCTCAGATCATCTCATATTTCTAAGTAACTTATTCATTTTGACCGACATAACGATTTTTTTGGAACCTTTAAGCCCTATCAGATTTGTGGATCACTTTTAAAAGACTATATCTCAAATTATTAGAATTTTTTTCACTTTTCAACGTCATTAGTACTACTACTGTAACAAATTGAGGTGTCATCTTTCTAGTAACGGGTTTTTACAAACAACGCTACAAAAGTGGAGCGTCCTATCAGATCGAAAATTGAGCATCTGTGAGAAAATAGTATCGAGAATATTCCTGCTCCTGAGGAAGGCTCAAATCAATCTCTCACACGTCGTTCTCATTCGTTTGGCATCTCTGTGATGGCGTTGTGCCGAATTTTGCGAAAACATGTGAGCCTACATCCTTACAAGATCAAATTGACGCAAGAACTGAAGCCGCTTGACCATCAGAATCGTCGTACGTTCGTGAATTGGACTGAGCACCAACTTCAAAATGATCCAAAAATCGTCTTTAGCAATGAGGCTCATTTCTGACTGAATGGATTCGTCAATAAGCAAAATATGCATCATTGCTCAGGCAGCAATCCACACGTACTCCATGAGTAACCATTGCATGCCGGAAAATGATAACCGAATATGTTTGCTCAGAATTGGATAATATGGACATGGATAATTTGTGGTTCCAATAGGATGGCACCACAAGTCACACAGCGAATGTCACAACTGATTTATTGAGAACCAAGTTTGGTGAACGTCGTTAGACTATTTCCAGTGGAACTGCTTCCTAATGCAGTTGAAAACACAAGTGACTTATATTCTATAGTATACACCCAAGTCGACTTCTTCTGACTCTTAAGAGGGAACAGTTTCTGATCAAACTTAAAAGCCATTTATAAGGTATTGCCCTTGGGTTCAAAAATTCGTGAGATTAAAAATGCTGTGTTTGTAAAAAATTAATGTAATGTCATTCGCTATATTATGTCGTAAAGTCAATGTCTTGCAATGCCATGTCAAACCACAGCAAACTCTGCCGCAAAGTTTTATTTCCCGCCACACACATACGCACACAAAAGCGCGGAGAATGTGACGTTGTGTCATTATCCTAGTAGCAGTGTTTTACATGCTTAACCCATGCATACACATAGCTACTAAAATGACTGAAATACCTAGACATTGCCCAGGTTGGCAAAATACCCATGTAATTATAATGCCGTGCATTTCGTGGAACATTGCATGATGTAGAATGCGCCAGCAAATCTACATACCCATACGTATAAATATATATGTCTATGTATATGTGCAACTGCATAAGTAAGTACGTACCATTACAAACCGGAGTATGAACCTCAAAACCTTGTAGGATGGCACTCACTTATCGCAGCGCAACACATAAGAATTAATACTAACACAGCAATTTCACAATTGCCGCTGTGCTGCTGCGGGTGCCACACGCCCACAAACACACACACATATATGAATTTATGAATTTATATAGCATCCTTATTCTGCAAGTCGTCATTTTCCGAGGGAATTACAAAACAATGAGACACGGAAAAAGCGCTACATATGCCGTTATGCACATAAATATATTACGCTCCTGAATCCGCTGCGGAGCATTCACGAAATGTGAAATTGCATGCGTGAAGAAATCCGGATGAATGTCATTACTTTTTGATACTCGCAATCATACTTATGTGTGCATATTATATTTATGTATATATTTTGATTACGTAACTCAGTTACAATGTTCCGTGTTCCTGCGAAATTGCGAACATACAGAGCTGCCGAAATGCTGAATAAATTGCGCGCCAGCAGAAGTAGGTGTGAATAGTCGGTCTGGCAACAAAGCAGAAATGTAAGAAATCATGCACAAATAGTAAGGGAAATCCACATTCGCTCGGAACTGGAAGCCTAAAGCTCTCGAAGACTACCAGAATATTAGGTATATATATTAATATTGGAGAACGAAGCAACGAAACGAGGCTTCACGACGCTTTCCCAGCGGATGTCGTTAATAATAAAATAAATGGAGAGCGATTTCACTCATTTATATAAACGTTTGCATCAAATGATTCGGTTTGTGCTATAAGATATATTCTCTTAGATCATTCGGACTGTCAAAGTGTCATATGTTGTTATTGTTGTAGGATCACTATCGGCAGTTAAGCGTTCAGTATTGCTAGCCAGTTACACAAAGTGATATACTATGTACATAATATTAAATAGCTAAACGTATGTCCGGGCCAATATACATAACCGTATGCATGTTTCTGACATATCTGATAATAAGTGATATCAGTTATAAAAAAATATAAGGAGCCCTAAAGTCACACTCCTTTTGCTTCTAGAAAACGTAGGTCTAACACTTACCTTGGTTTCAGGCCCGTCATTTCAGCGATAGTTGGATTTTCCGTTATCACAGACCCATCATCATCGATCAACACGTGCGAATAGTCGGTCTTGTCCAGGCCCATCAGCAGTCGGAACAAATCGTCAAAGGGATCATGAGGTTCCCGCTCCAATTTCTGTATCGCCAACATATCTTCCCTAGCTGCTGCATCCTGTTGTACACCGTTTGCACCGGCACCCGCCGCCGCCGCCACATCAGCCGAACTGCCACCTGCCGCAGTGCCTGCAGGGCGCGATTGTGTGGTTGTCGGCGTGGCTGTCTCCTTTGAACCGGATGAATTGCTGTAAATAAAAATAATTGCATAACAAAATGGAACATTTTGAGAAGAGATAAACACTAGGAAAACTATGCTAACAACGGCGTACACGGCTAAGGCATGTAGGACATGGACAACGCGACGCTGAGGCACTGACGGTGATGGTGACGATGACGATGACGCCGTCAACATAGGCACGAGATTATGCAAAATTTGTAATTACTGAAAATCTCAAGTTGTTGCGTCACTGCTGCTTGTTTCGAAATTAGTTTAGTTTCAATAAAAGTTTCTGGAAAATAATTATGGCTTCGTAAAAGCGAAGCGAGTGGCAATGCGCCTCAGCAACGAGCGCTATGCACGAGATATGCATGTGTGCTATTTATGTTGGAGATAGAAGTGCAGCCGGCATTGATGAGTTGAGTTGGGTTGATGAGCGAGTGCATAAAACTAGTTGCCATCAAGCGCTCTCTGCAGAGTTTCGGCAAGTAGTCGTCGAGTGTTTTCAATTGGTGGCATGCACGGTTTGTATGGATGTGTGGAATTGTATGCACTACTTTGCATTCATTGCTCCTGTCGGCGCTGCGCAGCCAAATGCGAAAACTTCGCACGGCGCTGCCACTTCGAAAACAATTCGCAATAAAAGCACTTTAAATGTTTTTGCAATTAATTTCCACATTCGAAAATAAGTGTTTGGAATTGCGGAGTTAGTTTGATGGAAAAATAATAATAATAAAGCGAAATATGTTGGGGGTACACACAATTATCTACTTGAAAATTCGAACACAAAGTCCTTAGCACAGTTTAAATTAGCACGCAAAGTTTTAAATTAATTGATAAACTAATGTGGAGTGATAGCAAACTGCATTCGCTTCACCTGGGTAACTTTTTTCAAGCGGGTAAGGATTCCGAATGATCACCAGTGGTTCAACAAGTCGATATCGATAGATATCGATAGAAGCAATCCAAACTGAATCCAATAAATATGATTTCCTTGTGGAAAGTGCTTACGCAGAATACAATGCAAAATATAATATAATGCGACGTCGGGGGACGTCGGATACTCTAACCAAAACTTGAAAACTCTCTAAAAAGTTTTCTGTTTCAGATTAGTGATTTCGCGTGGTCTGCCATAAGATCATAACTGTTGAATGGAACCAAAGCTGTAACTCATTCTAGTTCCTGAGATGCTGATGTCTCAATGCAATTTGCAGTACTAACTCATTAAGGGTTTTCAGTGTCTTCGCATAAATAATTAGTTAAAGTTTTGTGCTTGACATTTTATATTAAAAAACTGTCGGGAAGGACTTTCCCGAGCCGTTCGATACTTTATGAGGTTACATACAAAGCTACTGCCTTCTATGCAACTTTTTCAATCTACTCTTGGAGAAAATAATTCGATCTGCAGAACGAAATGGAGAAGGTAAAATATTTTATATCAGTATACAGAACCGGTATTAACACCAACAACAATGTTAGCCCCGAAACTTAAAGTAGAATGGCGCTTGCCAACACGTGCCACTTGGGACTAAGTAGGCAATTGAAAAGTCCGCGAACAAAAACCAAACTCTACAAGTCACTCATCATCCTTGTCCATCCTTGTAAAAGGTGCAGAGACTTGGACAATAATGACATCTGATGAGTCGGCGTCACGAGAAAGGTTCTGCGGCAACGGCATCGCAGTCGATAGAACAATGAGCTGCACGAGATATATGACGGCTAGGCTGGCTAGGCCATAGCGTCCGAACGAACGAAAACACTCCAGCTCGGCTACAACCGCATAAAGAAGAAGAAGAAGAATAATATTTCATAATATTTTTATAAGTACTTACGTTTCAGAGCAAAACCATGTATGAGTGACTACCTAGAAACACTGGACCTTAGTCATTTGTCGATTCAGAGCCTCAATAGTTCCCTCGTTACAATACAAAAAGAAATAAAAACTATAAAAAGAAATAGGAAATTCTCTTCAAGACACAAATGAAACAAACACAAAGAAGCAAATAGCGATCTCACTTTAACTTTGTCTCTTATCATTGGCCACCAAAAGTTTTGTCACCAACACCAACGGAGTCAAGTTTTGAAGTTGACATTTGTCAGTTACCGCAGGAGTGGCGAGAGAAGAGAGAGAGAGGGCGAAATTGATATGAGTGAAGTTTTGTCAACAAACCAAGATTGAAATGCACTAACCGCTTCATTGTTTCACTTGCTGCAGTGTTATTGTTGTCATTGCAGTTGTTGCCGCTGATAAATTATGCAATGCGGCATTGCCACAAACTTCGCATGCTTTACTCTCTGCATATTGCGAAAGATTAAGTTGTGAATTTAGTTGCAAAATTGTGAGTTAAGAACGAACCGAAAATTTTGCTTAATATTATGGAATAAGCGATATATTTCATTATTTGTATGGGTTTGTATAACTATTCTAATAACAGGTCGCCTCAATCTAGTTGAGACGGCAGCTCGTGTAGAAGGTTTCGTGAGGAGCTAAAAATGTATTTTCTCCTTAGATAGAAAGCAATGACATAGCAGTACGCTATAAATTCAAAGCTTGAAACCTCGCTGATGTTCTCAATCTTTCTAGTTCTCATTAGAAACTAATGCTAAGTACCAAACATAAACACAGCTTGACATAACTACTTCAACTTTGGTCAAACCTCGTTAGTTGGCAATAATTCGGTGTGAGTTTCAGAACTTTTTGCAACTGCAAACTTCTTCGCATCGCTTAAATATACAGTTTTGTTTATACTAAAACAAACAAAGTAATATATAAGCGTGTATACACATATCTAAACATTCACATATGCAAATGAATTTACTCGGAAACTTTCGCACCTTCCTGTCGAGCAATGCGGAGCTCGCCTATTTTGCATATTCTAAGCATCATTCGGAGCAAAGTGTCATCGCAAGCGGGTCGCTGGAAATTCCGCTGCAAAATGCTCAAGGTATGTGGCAGTTGACTGCACTCGTGTTGATGGTCCATTTCAACAGAAGTTAGTTCTAGATGTGTTCACACTGCAAAGTGATAATCAAAATTACCTTGCAATGTGTTGAAAGCAGATTACTTCCGCACTTCTCTACAAAATATCCAAATTTGATGCACATTCTTGGCGAAACAACAAATAATCATTTAGTATGCTAATTTTGTAATTCAAAGAAAATATTCTAACGTTTATGGGGAAACTTCCAGATATCGTAAAACTTAGAATTTTTGCACTTATGTAAATAGCGCACATAGAAATGGTCAATAGGTAAGAATGAGGTTTAAGGCATACTTCAGGAACCTTTATATTTCTAAATTTCTAAGAATATGGAGTCGATTATCCAGAAGACAATAATTTGTAACTTAACTAACGAAATGAATGCGGGTTAGAGAACTTATTCTTGTTAGGCTGACAAACGGACTCTCTATTAGTCTTTTAAAAATTCGCTGAATATATGTACTTGTAAAGTATAAATTAATAAAAATTATAAAAGGATCTTTATGTACATTTTGAGCAATCACTTTGTACCGCAACTATATGCTATAGTGGCCCGCTAATGAGAAGTTTATTAGGAAAAGAACAGGTGAAAGATTTCAGATCGATATCTTAAAAGCTGAGTGTATACTACGCGTATATAAGGAACAGATCAACTCAGGTCATTACCCTCATCATTTGCACAGGGTTCCCCAATAAGAGTGATATGATTTATTTTCAAAATTCATTTTAAATAAATTCAAATGTTTTTTATTTACTTCTTTAGTACGGAAAATCGGTACGGACCGATGATTCAAACAGGCCAAAAACCACAACCAACTGTCACTTAAGTTGAAGGTAACGGTTGTTCCTGATTAATTCGTGGATTTTTTTTGCAATAGAAACGACAGTTTTGTATATTTAGCACACTACTCTGATGAAAGTGGCCTCATCGGAAAAGATAATTTGCCTAAAAACATCGTTTTCATTTTCAAGTTGTTCCAAGACAAAATCAGCAAATTCACGACGTTTAGGGTGGTTCAATGGCTTCAGTTCTTGAGTGAGAACAATTTTATTCGATTACAAGAGGAAAACCTCTCATAAAATTTGGTATATATTTCATATTTCTTTAATAGAATGGGTGAAGTTTCTACAAAAGGCCACTATTAGCTTCTTAAATACTGACACTATTAAAGAAACTTTGGTGTGATTTGCTAGAGGAAAAGGAAACAAAATTATATTTGGGAGAAAAAGTATAACACAATACAATTTTTTTTATTTCAGAAGTATGTGAATAAATGCGAGAGTATGTAGGTATGGATAAATATATATTTTTACACTGTTTTGTTTGCATAGTGCTTTCTGCCTTAACAAAAATTGTGTATATATGTATAGTATATACATATGTATGTGCACAGCTATTTAGAGTCAAGAAGATCGAGGCGATTATCCCAAAATAAAAAAATTCAATAGCACACTTTTAAACTAGTTAGCCGCACAGGGCTTAAGGGGGAAGAAAAACTTTGTGATTTCATATTGTTTTCGCAAGAAAAAGGCAAATTGAAAAGCCGTCTGACACCTGCTGACTTGGAAACACAAGCCGAAGTTTCAAAGTTTTACAATTTAAAAAACAAAGTGGAAGCCACTTTTCCATAAGGAAGCTTTGGAAGGATGGGCAGAAAGCCGGAAAATGAGAAATGCGAATTTTATAGTTCCTGACAATTAAAACTATCTCCGAAGTTGTTCCAAATGGCAAGGAATTGTTTATTTACGCAAATAGCATACAGGAGGGAGTGTGTGAGTGAAATCAAATAAATTGCTGCCTAATAGCTTCAAAGAGATTTGATATGCCAGAAGAATCTCTTATAAATTCATTGTGAAACTTTAGCTTCCGCAGCCGACCATTGGCCCAGCCAGCATTGGCTTTGCCAAAGTAAACGAAACCAAAACATTTTAAGACAATAATTAACCACGGCTAAAACAACAGCAACAAACGCTTAAACTGCACTTTATTTCATTGCGCTCGAAGCCAATTTGAGTCAACTGCACTGCAAGGCTCGCATTGCACAAAGTGGCCAGCGCGGCTTAAAGCCAGTACATAAACACGCACACACTCATATATATGAAAATGTGCATAGAAGTTATGAATTAATTAAATGTTTTAGAGTTTAAGTAGCAGTCTAAGGCAGCCAGTCGAACGATGCCACCGTCTGTGTTGCAATAAGCTCGATACTTTACTTTGTCTTAGCGGCGCTTTGAACGCAATCCGCATCCACCACATTAAAGGGATTGCAGAAAGGACCTGCGGTGAGGCGTATCACCAGCCAACACCGATTGCTTGACATCATATTTAGCGCCAGCTCGCCAACCTCCATTCATGCCGCCTCTCGCCGGTTTCACACGCTCGCCTTCAAAAGAAGCCGTTAGTCAGTGCGCTGCTTTGTTGCAGCTGCAATAACTTTGCTGGTTGCCCGCCATGCAGCGCTTTCGTGTAACGGCATTAGTAGCTTTTAATGTTGCCGGCACTGTTGCTATTGCTGTTGTTCGTCCCACAGCTGCTTCGGGCGCCACGTAGAGCTGTCCATATGTATGCGCGCACGGCGATACTCCTCTCTACAAATACACCACGCCATTGTTTATGCGCTTACCCATGGCCTAAGCTATGACTACGGCCGTCGATGGTTATTGGTGTTGTTGGTGTTGTTTTTGTGCAGCAGCTACACCGGCCGCTGCATTTCCTTACGTTTGCTGCTTCCGCAATTTACGCCATTTGGATGTTTTATTACTTGGCTTCCGCAACCGCATTAAAGGCACAGCATAAACCAGCCACCAGGCAGCCAGCCAGCGCAGAGCACAACCGCAGGGCTGCAAACGACGGCAGAGGCGGCGGCGGCGACGGAGTGTGCGAGCCAAGCCAGCAAATGCTGTTAAGACGACAAGTAAGAAGATGGCTTGTAGCGTTTAATGCAAACAACGGCTATGCCAACAACAACAACTAAAACAAAAACCCACACAATAAGCACAATGCCACTAACAAGCGCTCATTCCAATATTATGAGTGGCAAAAATGTTGCTGGCACTGGCACCGACGCCCCAGCCCTCGCCAATTCGCACATCCTGCATGCGCTGCCAGTCCACATAACCTATAAGTAATATGACGTTTGGCGCCACTATGGCCTTGGCTCGATACTTGGTCTGGCAATATTGTGGGCTCCTCCTGTGACTAGCAGTTTTCGATGTTTCGCCGACGAAAGGTTGAGCTTTAAAGCTTTTTGGCATGGCACCAGCTTATGGCGGTTTATTGCATTTTTTATACTGCCTGTTGCGCCGCTTGATGGCGGCAATCATTTTCCTTTTGTTGCCGTCAATATTACGGTTGCTTTGTGCAGGTTATTTACAGCTATTCCAGGTAACATTATTGCTCTTAGAAGCTGCCATATTAATGTAATAATAAAGTGTGCGTAACGGTACATTGCATATAGCTAGATAAACATTATTGTTGCAATATTTGGTAGTTAATATCACGTTGGTCCCAAAGAAGAACGAACGAAATACGGCAACTTTGTTTCATTTAATTATTAAAGGTGGCAAGGATTTGGAATTGATGGCAGTCTAATGATGAAAACTGATTTCGGTGAAAGTAGTGCAGAAACGGTACACTAGTTTAGTGTATATTAGTCTAGAGATTATAGCATTATTTTGGGCAACAATCCATGGATGATTTCGGACATTGTTTCAAAGAAGAAATTCATTTAAATCGTCCAACTTCTGTGGCAGCTATGTATTATAGTGGTTCGATCTGAAAAATATGGTGGTCTGATTTCAACGCTTCTTGGAAAGAAAAACACGTCTGACATATTTCAGATCGACGCCTGAAAAGTCGAGTGACTACTACCAAAGAGACAAACAGGCAACATTCTTTGTGTTTTTAGGTGAGATCCTGCCGACGACGGCCTTACCTCTCTGTGGCTAAAATCGCGTTGACCTGAGCCCCAAATACAGGCTTTTTTCAAGTATTATCTGAATCTAATTGGTCCGATGGAAAACCATCAAATGAATGAACTCGTTAGGAGGAATCTCATTCAAAGTTGATAATATAATTTCAATCTGAGTATTATACCACTGTTTCTGGCAAGACTAGCTGATATTTGGAGACATGCCAAATAAGATACATAGTACATATTGCATGTTTTAGTTGACTCTTACGACAGACATATCATACCGCTTGCAAATTCTGCCCCCTGTCCGTTGGGTAAAAGCCAGACAGACAGATGGATACKGCTAAATCGACACAGATCTTCATAGATATACCATTTAAAGTCTTCGACGATTGCTTCCCATGACGGGTACACCGCAAAACAACTTTCTAGCATTGCGAACGTATCTTGAGACCAGCCCTTTACATACGAAACATTAAGTGCTCACATGAGTTAAAGCAATATAGGTTGTAGCTATTCTATGCACCCTCCATGTGATGGGAGCCACACATCACACCAGAAGGCGAAATGTCAACGCTTTTCTACTCGCAAATCATCTATTAACCTCATTTGAGTCAACATTTGCAAGGCGCTTATCCATCAACTACATTCGACTTGACAGCAGTGACCCGACAATGTCTTTCACATGGCTTGAATCTATCTCTCACTTAAAACTAAGCACACATACACCCACCCGTATGCCCACAGATTAACACATACGGCTTAAGTACTCACCTCTTTTGCAGGAATTTTCGTTTGAAGTCTCTGAAGGCACCAGTGCCACCAGTGTCACCGCCATCATTTTCATTTACATAACGCACACGTGACTGCTGCTGTAATAAATGCCGATTTGTAACACCAAAATCCATCTGCACATCGACCACCAACAGCAGCGTCAGCAGTATCAGGGTTGCACCCAGACTAATGGCGAGGCGGTCTTTAAGCTTCATGCTGCGTAGAAGACCCATTACGTCGAATGAGCGTCGCTTTGGAATGTTCTCGACGGGAATTGTGTGAGGCGTCGCCGTTGAACGCCTACTTGTATGCAACGTTTCGTTGCTGAAGCTGCTACTTTTGTTGCGGCATACGCCTAACTGCACGGCAACATGCTCGGCAAAGCTGCCTAGGCCAATGCTGTGGAAAAATGAAAGAAACCAAATTTGTGTTGTTGCCGCTGCTGTCCGTTGTTGTCTTTCAGCCGTTACACGGCCAGCTGTTGTTACTTCGGGCGACTTGATTGAGGTAGTTGTTGTAGAATTCGCTTGTTCGTCGGTGTTGTTGCGCTTGCGCACTAATACACGCCTCCGTTTGACCGGCTTCGTGTAACAAGCTAGTGGAGTGGAAGATGACTCAGTTGCATCAAATGTTGCAACATCCGCACTTTGTTGACTTAACTTATAATGATGTTGTCCAACGTTATTGTTGTTGTTCTTGCTATTAACGACTCTCGCTTGGAGCAATGATGAACACTGTTGTTCTGTGGCTGAAGTGTATGTGTCCGCAGTGGGTATTAATTCACTGCGCTCGAGTACCGTTGGTTTATTGGCACTACTAGCTGCACTGTTGTTGTTGAAATGCTGATTGTTGTTGTGCCCATTGGAATCACTTGCGGCACTGTAATGCTTGTAATAGTCGTCTGGCGTTGATAATTCGCCTTCGATCGACCCAGCGCTCACTTGTTGCTGTTGTTGTTGTTGCTGTTGCTTGTGTCGAAATCTGTTTAAACGCTCCGCTAGCGATGCCTGTGTGGTTGACCAGTCTGCGCTGCCTAGCGTTGCTGTGAAACCGTATTTCGAGAGATTGTTGTTGCTGTTGTAGGCTCTTAAGCTTAAGCTTGACAAGGCTGCTGCGTCTGCAGTGCTGAAATTAAATTTTGTGGATTTCGTCAGTAAATTTTGGCATATTTGTGAGCGTTAAAAACAAAAATGGAAAATGCATGCAAATTGGCGTGAATTTGGCCTAAGGAAAAGCTATTAAAAGTTTAGCTGTATGTATGGTTGGGAGATTAAGGGACAAAATCGTGCAAGTGAAACGAGGCGCTGGTTTCCTTAAGTTGTATTATTTCACAGCTTGCAATACTTTTTATTGAGTACATGATATTTCAAATAGCGGTACTTCATATTCAGGATTTTTTCCGGTTTTTGACTCTTTTTTTTCAAAAAGTTAATAATCGTTTAGACCTTATTTGCTAACGTCGAAAAATTTCGAGCTCAAGTCAATATAAAGAATGAGAGCTCAAAGCATAAAGAAGCAAAAATAGTAATACACTTTGCTTCAAGCGCAAACAGCTTCATTTCTATACACAAGCTAACTTATTAGACGCTATTCTGCTTTAAAAATTTTGTATCACAACTTCAACAGCTTTAATGACCACCGTCAAGACCTCAAGCGTTCAAATTTGAGAGTGTTTGCAGGAAAGTATTTGAAATAGTCGCCTCTTCCCATTCAACTAATAGCAGATTTGCAACACTGTAACAGTAAAGTTTGCAGTTTAATAATTTCTAAGTGGCTCACACCCTTGCATTAGCTGCGCACTCCTGCGAAACCCTTTAAGCGATTTGTAAACTTCAACAATTTCTAAACACTGCAGCCAGAAAACCCCCATTCGTATGGCACCGTCATGGCTAGAATGAATCTATGAGCTGGTCACGTGACATTCACTTCACTGTTCATTTGAACTTCCTGTCAACCGACTCGCCTCATTATCAACGGAATGGCTGCCGTTCTTCGTGTCAAAGTTGTGATGTGTCATTTGCTGTTGATTATGCAAGCGCATGTATGTGCACACTTACACATGTATATTGCGAATACTAAGCCGTCTTTTGTGAGTGAGTCTTTTGTAAGCGCCAATGAAATGCGAGGAATAGCCACAGACACCTGTGCTCTCTTTCTGAACCCGAGCGTGTGTAGGTGCTAATGCCACAGGAACGACTATGTACTCAGGAAAGTAACTAATTAACACAGCAGCTTAAAGCAGAAACAAAAGAAGATACTCTGCTTATAAAAAAAAAAAAAAAAAAAAAAACTGCTTCTTTTAGATTGTATCCCGTTAAACCTATGGGCTAAGAACAATGGACTAGGAGTTAATCCTAACAAAACAGAACTGATGCTATTCACAAGCAGAACCAAAATCTTTCAGTTTCAACTTCCGGTAAACGGTAAGACTCTATTCCCCACCATTGACACCAAACTGTGCTGGAAAATAAATTTAGAAAAAAGAATAAATAAAGCATACATAGACTACTATACTTATAAGAGAATCGTCGACACGAATTGGGGCCTCAAACCAAGTATAATCATTCAATATATACTTCTGTCATAAGACCCATACCTACATATGGAGCTCTGGTATGGTGGCCAGCGCTGAACAAACAATACAGCATTAGAAAATTCAATGGAATACAAAGCGCAGCATGTACGGGTGTTACTGGTGCAATCAGGTCATGTCCGACTGAGGCGTCCCGCATCAACTACCCATGGACATTTTTATTCACAAAACAGCAGCTATTGCGGCGAGAAGAATTAAATAATTGAGTGGTTGGAATCAGCAGAACTACGGACATAGTATAATCCTAAACAAGCTCACCAGTAGGAAATCAGATTACATTCTCCCAAAGCTGGATTTTAATAGACACTATTAGCAAACCACGAGAATATACATATAGCAACTATATTTACCGAAAGCCAGGCGGCGCTCCTGCCCTTATCTTCACCCATGACAAATGCCAGTATAGTTCACAAATGCAAGAGAGCACTAAATTCAATAAAAGACAGGCTCCAACTAGACTTGATCTGGGTTCCCGGCAACAGGAACAGTTTCGGTAACGAAAAAGCAGACGAGTTGGCAAGGGCAGGAGCTTTCCTCAATGAATCCGAGGCGGAGCTGACACCAAGCCCGCCAGGATCGATCAAAGGAGAGATCAATAGATAATTTCAACAAGCAGGGAACAAGAAAACAATTTTCCTTGGAATCCATCAAGCACCAAACCTTGAATGGATTTCCACTAATAGCATATCAGACATAAGAAGTTTCATCGAAACCTCAAAATGGTTTGAGAGAGAAGGTGAAACGTAATAGCAAATAATTGAGCCATGCACTGTCTTGATAATCGAACGAGCATTGTCTTGAGGTCTGATAATAGGTCGCAAACGTGTCGTTTGAAAGTTTCCAGGCAATTCTGAGAACACTTTTACTTCATAAATACCTTGATCTAGCTACATATCCTAAATAAATTTATGGAAAGAGATAAAAGTGGAATATAGTCCTCCATTTAAGGGGATTTTCACAACTTTTATCAAACAGCCGCAATATGCGCTCAGTTAGCTAGATGACCAGCTCGGAACCGTGGGGAAGGATGAGTCGCCTTTTGGCCTTAGCTCGCCTCCAAATGGATTTTTTTGGCTACCCAAAGGATACATGGGCTAAGACCGGAAGTCATGAGCTGCTTGGGTCACATGTAAAAGAAGCGTTTCTGGCCACTGCCAAGTGAATGGCGCTAAAAGAAGGTTCCTCACTTACGTGAACTTATACATATGACTCCATCTTCCGAGAATTTTTAATTGTTGTGAATATAGAAATTCTGCTGGCTATCAAATGCACTTACTAAATTAATTTATAAGTTGTTGAAATAATTGACTTTCATTTAAGAGTAATCGTAAATTCTTGCAATTTTTGAGGCATTCTAGAGCCGCAGTTTTTTACCTCATTCCACTGCTCATTCATATATGTACAAACATACATATATAAGTAAGTATGTGCGCAGTAGAGCCGATTAAGTTTTCCTTTATTTAAATATTCTGTATAGCCCACACCCCCTGTGTAAAATATCTCCGGCAATTATTACAAAAAAGTAGAGAAAAATTGCATTCCATGAAAATTAGCGTCCAGCAGATTTACCTTTGATGTGCCAGCTCAGCAGCCTGAGCAGCGGGGCAGTAATTACGGCCGCCGTCGCCGAGCCACTGCTGCCGTGGCGTAGTAATGCCCGTAATTTCTTTTTGCCCTAGCCGCTGCCACCGCAATTCGTCAGGCGCAGCATTGCTGTTGTTGCCTTGTAGCATTTCGCCTGCCATTGACACCGTCGCTTGTGGTTTAGCAGACGTGGCTGGCGCTGTCATAACTTTTCCAAATTTGGTAGTAATTTTCCTGCTGATATCCCGTTCAGACATCCACTGGGCATTTGCGGCGTATGCGATGTCCGTACCGAAGCGGTCCACGCTGTGTCCACGTGCACGCTTCACAAGCGGCGTTTTGAAGAGCGCCGAAACCTGGCTGGCATTATTCGTAGGACTTCCCGCTTCCGCTCGCCTTGACTGCAGTTGCAAGTGCGGTGAGCTTTGCGGTGCAGCTGCTGTTGACGTCCTCTCATTGGTGCTTTGCGGCAACTCTTGTCTGGACTGCAGTGTGGCACACATAGTAGAGGCTTCATAAGGCACGTCGAAGCCGCCCACATGTGGAGTGCGGGGACTCACATTGTTGCGTGCATAGCTGCCACCTACCACTGCAATGCAATTTAGGGTTGTATGCTGTGTGACACAGTTTTCCAGCTCGCTTGCTGTCGCGCTGACATGTGAAGCGAATGCCGTACTATTGCGGTTGGTAGAGCTGGGCGCTCGACTCCCAGTCATTGTGACTAAATTCACTCGCTTCATTTCAGGCAACTCAGTTGTGTGTAATTGCGCCTGTTGTTGTTGTTGTTGCTGCCGATTTTTGTGTGCACTCAAAGGAGCTGCTGACCAGGGGTTCGGTGCTGGCGTGTGCTGTCGGTCAGTGACTTGATTTCCTGTGTCATACAAGTAAGCACTGCTCCACCGCCCCTCCTTTTGTGCAGCAACATCTGCTGTGATATCGTCATCAACGGTCTGGTCAAAGACTGTGTTTGCCTTTGTGTCAGTTCCCACTGCGTTCGTTTCGTCCCTTTCAATGTCAGCATCGTCGCGACTAAGACAATCCCCAGTGGCATCGTTGCTACCGAGCTCGTAGAGCGCATTGTAGTCGCTGCTTTTTTGACTTTCGTTGCTTTCCATTGCCGCAACATCGTTGTTGTTATAATAATAGCTGTAGTTTTTGTTGTAATGGCTGTTCATGTCTTGCACGCTTTGTTTCAATCGCGATTGATTGCTTGACACTGCCAATTGATTTGTGTCCACAACACTTTTACTCAATTGTCGCTTGGCCACTGAGGGACTCGCTCCCAGGCGCCATTCCCCCGACACGCTGTTGCTCCTCACACTCCACCGTCGTAAGCGACTCTTACTGCGTCTCACCGTCGCATTGGCGTTGTTGTAATCAGTGTTGGCAGCAGCAGTGTCATCGGCAATTTGTCCACTTCCTTGAGTCCACCTGCCCGTAGCCTGGTCGAAACCTGAAGCCGTCGCGCCGCTGTCAGCAACTTCATTCTTTTGTAAGCGCACAGCGTCGTCATCATCATACGGAAAGTTAACTGTATTCGCATCGCCGTTTGTTTTAGGCACTGTCTTGTTGTTGTTGTAGTTATAGTAGAATTGCCCAGCTCCATCTTCGCTCTGTCCACGTTGCAGCTTTGCCGTGCTCGTTGCTTTTTTGCTCGTTTGAAAAAGTTTTCGTAAATTTTCGTTCCGCTTTGCTCTGGCATCGTCCAAACTATTTCCGCCATTTTGGTTAACCTAAATGTTTACGTTACATGATTTCTTTGTATTCATTCCGAATTGCAACAGGAAATTCGTTTGTGCTGGTCTGCATGTGTTAATATGTGGCAGCGAACTTGCATTTCGAACATTTGTTAGTTTGTTGTTGTTGGAAGCGAACTGAAACTGCAAAACGTGGCTGTCCAGCCATAAAAATTCAACCAACAATAATGCGAACATTACAACTTAATTTCGGTTAGTTCAACAAATAGAAATTTAACGAGCAACAAATTTCGCAAAAATGCGCTTGATCTGGCAAAGGCACCGCACCACAGAAGTGAAACCAATTACTTGATTAAAATGCTTTTTGCGGCGCATCAAAAGTATTCACATGTGAATCGAATGTGCGTCCAGAAGGGATGAACCTCTGATTAGATGTGCGTTTATTTTTCAAATAAGTTATTGATGAGTATGCCAAATTCTAAAAAAAGTTTATTCTTTTCAGTTTCATTGTTAGTTTGGACCAAAAATTCCCTTTGTATTTTGACATCAGTTATTGTGTGAATGATTGTTATGAGCTCCGCTGAGGAACCTCCGTCACTGCAGACAGCGCAATAATTTTAGAGAACATTTTCTTGAAAAATAGAGACATTTTTGAAAGAAAAGCTTCAAAGATTGGTACATAACAGGAAGCCTAAAACTCGTGATCTGTAGATTCTTAATGCGGATGTTGCAATTAAGCGCCTTTGCAAATTTGTATTGGCTACTAAGCGTTTTTGCTAATTTATAAGCTCGAACACAAGATTTTTTCTTCTCTAACTCTTCACAAAGGATTACAAATAGCAATCCACGAGCGATATTAGATTAACTAACTATTCTTTCGGCAAACCAAGCGAATTAGAGATATTAGCCACCTCAACAAATTTTTGACTCAAGGCGCTTTATTGCTATGAGACGTTCCGCACTTAGGAGCTCTGAGCATTACATTGGACCCTCGTTTTTAGCTGCTCAAATGAATTTATTATTGGCTTAAGGAAGTTCAGCCTGGAAACTGACCTAAGATAAGCGAATTTGACAAGACTATTGGAATGTTCAGATTAATGAATGTTCTATACAGCTCTAATCCTGGTTGCTGCCAAATTCTAACCCTAGAGAAAGACTATTTTAATACAGAGTATACAAATATACATTTCCACAATACTCATTAATATACTAAATAATAAATATAAGCGCGCTATCTAAAACCTTCACGCAGAAAGTACTAAAGCTTTCTAAGCTCATAAATGATCTTCTATACTTTGGCATACGCGATCTGCAGTTTTAGAAGTTCTATTTTGTTAAATACATGCGAAAGTTAAGACGATTTAAGCGACTATTAGGGTGACACTTGAATATGTCTACAAAACACGCCAATAGATAACTAAAGACATATGTATGGATTGTCTATAAATAATTTTTCATAAATTGAGACAATATTATGCCACAGAAGATTGTGGACCAGTCTTTTACTCAATCATTGGACCACTTTTATTAGATTTTAGAGAAATTAATTACAGGGCGACCCGCTTTTTGGTGAGGTGCATTACAGTCAATAAAAAGCGAATTTCGAAAATGTTTTCTTTGATTTGCAAATCGGTTTACATGAAGGAAGGAAAAACTCGCGTGATATATTTCACATACTAAGCATGATTTTTAATTTCTTTAAGAGTCGGAATTCCAACAAATTAAAAAATTTTTGTTTTTTCGTTAGAAAAGTATATTATTATAATTCGTTAATAAAAATAAACGTTCAAGCAAAAATGTGTGTAGCCTTCGTATCGCGCTCGGAATCACATTCCCAGCATTAATTAGTTGTGTGTTTGTGTAACAGCATAATAAACATAAACTCGCATGCAGAAATTAATTAGCTCAGCAAAAAATTAAAATTTTGCAAAAAACCTGAAAAAAACACAAACAATTTTTCTAACAAAAACATACAAAGGCAAACAAGCAAACAAACGCAAAACAAAACTGAACTCAAACGAAATTCTTAAAACGGAACGGAACGGGAGCAAATTGTGGTGTAAATCAAATGCTGGACATCAGATTGATTACAAGCCGTGCGCGCTTGTTGCTTGGAACTGCAGTCCACGCGGGGGGTGGACGCTGGCGTTTTTACAGCCTGCCTTTCGGTACACAAATTCCAGAAAGCACAGCAGCGCTAAGCTACAGCAGCAGCGGCTATGACATGTGCACTACTTACATGGGGGCGCTGTGCGGCCATCCCAGCGTGGGGTGAGGGTGTGGCGCACAGCAGCAACTAGTCGAAATGGAAACGAATTTGTGAGTAAGGGCTTGAGGCGGCTCGGGCGATCGGTCGGTGCAATAGACGTTTAGAGAGTAAGTGTGTGTGTTGGAGAAACAGAGATGGAGAGCGCAGATTACTTCTGTGCGATAAAAAAGCACAAAGCAAACTGGATACACATAAAGCGGAAATTGCTAGTTGCTGGAACGCGGAGAGACTTAGTACGCGCGCTTATTTTTATTACAATTATATGTGCTCTCTTTCGCTTTCGCTTGCGTTTAATGTTTAGTTACTTTTGGTCGCATTTCTTGCTTTCCTTACTTTCGATTATTCTTATGCTTTTTCGTTTTGGGAGGAGATTTATGCGAAGCTGTGTGAGTAGAAAGAGGAAAAAGGAAAGTAAAAATAAATTAAAATAACCCTTTCAGTGCTGCCTGAGTCAATAACGGAAAATACAAATTGAAATAAAAAAAAACTTGGAAGTGTACTTACGCTATGAAAAGAAGCTTGAACACATACATACGCACACACACACACACATACACACACATCAAAGCACTATATACGCTATCATACAGTTATAAAAATGTGGCTTGTGCACAGAGGCGTGTTGTTGTACAATTTGCTCGATTAAAATGCAAGCGATTGAGGAAATGGATGTTTGCGTGTATAACGGTAAATGCAATGTATCTAAATTTCTATGGCAGTATTTAGCAAGCAGTTGCACACACGCACCCCTACACAAACATGTGAATAAATGAAGTTGGCTTTTTCGAAATTCTTTTTAAATAAAATACCGTTTAATGGGGTTGCCTTTGTTGTGGCCAAGTTACTGAAACGGAAATGCATTTGGAAAAGTGCCTGCACACATACACTCGAAGGATAAATATATTTGTTAGAATGCTCGTTTGCACCGTTGTTCATTTATATGTGAAAATTTATTCGAATTTACTGACTTACTAAAGAATACTCTAAATAAATCGTATTTTATTTATTTTGATATGAAAATCTTTGATTTTCTATAAGCCTTCTTCATACGCAAACTTTTGCTTTATAAGACTCGATGAACTGAACTTAAGTAAAAGAGACAAAAATACATAAAAATAACACATTACGAACTTGTTTCTATATTAGTAACCGATAAAGTCTTTTCGAAATTTCATTCAAAGTAAAAAATTACAGCTGTTAACAAATGAGAGAAAATAATGTAGAAATATTTTATAATTCGCTATATTTTGAATTTTTTGTATAAAAAGGGGAAGTATGCCAAGCAGTGTCCAGAGACGATGCCGTATCAGTTCGTGTAGCACATCAACGGTTCGCCCGCTGCCGTTCTGTAAAATTCGATGTGAAAAATGCACCTCGCTCTGGTCGACCTATCGTTGAAAAATTCGATGAAACGATGGAAAAGATTGACCAGGAACGTCACATAAGCAGCTATGACATCGCTAAGGAACTTAACATTCCTCATCAAATGGTTTCGAACCATTTAAAAAAGGCTGGCTACAAAAAGAAGCTCGACGTTTGAATTGTCTGTGCAAAATTTAGTGCACCGAATTTACATTTGCTATTCATTGCTGAAACGAAATGAAATCGAATCATTTCTGAAGCGAATGGTAACAGGAGATGAAAAGTGGATCAAATACGACAATAATGTGCGTAAAAGCTCAAGATCCAACAGTGGTGAAGCTAAACAAACGATCGTAAAAGGTTATGCTGAGTGTTTTGTGAGATTGGAAAGGAATGCTCTCGCCTGGTCGAACGATTGATTCTTTATTTTACTGTCAACAACTGATGAGATTGAGCATTGCTATCGAAAAAAAACGCACAACTGTTCAACAGATAGGGCTTCGTCTTCCATCACAACCACACATATCTTTGATGACTCGGCAAAAAGTGGGAGAGCTTGGCTGGGAAATTTAAATGCATCCGCCATATGTCCTGACCTAACACCATCGGTTATGGAGTAAAGTGAAAATTACTTATCGGAGTTTTTTGCAAAAAAAAAAAAAAAATGAAAAGTTTTACATTGATGGAAGAATGTCTCTGGCTGAAAAATGGAAAAATTTGGTCGACCAAAATGGTACATATTTAGTTCGTCAAAGTTCATTCTATTGTAAATATAAGAATAAGTTGGAGTTTGATTAGAAATACGAAAAGACTTTTTTCGTCTATTTGTTGAGCTCATACATTTTTATTGAGTTCCAGGTTTCGTGCAAACACATTTTTTATTTTCAGTGTTTTTTTTATATTTTAACAGCAAATCTCTGGCAATTAATTTTCAGAAAAAAAAATTATTCTATACATTTTTATTACATTTACTAAACTTAAAATCAAATATTATCATGCGCGCCAGTTGGCGCAAAGTTTGAGAGTTTGTTTGACTTTGATTGTTGGTAGGATATTATTAGTATTATCAGCGAATTTGAATGCAAAATACCACAGTCAAGAATAAAGAGTCTACAATAATCCTAAGAGCTTTAAAATCGTTTTGGCGAATTAGCGCTAACAACGCTCCCGTTCGAATGCATTTGTTTTAACCGCAGCAAAAAACGAACCAGCTCATATTTGCATGGAAAATAAATTAAACGAACGAAACTAAACTAAATATAATGAATATATTTATGTAAATTAAATACATGCTATATTACACGCATTGTAAACAACATGATTCTGTCATTTTCCTGCCGTCGCCGAAGTGCAAACACAAATACCAATGTAAATTGCGTTCGAGAAGTATTTAATAGCGCAAATAATTGTTCTCATCAGTGCAATAACAAAAAAATCCGATTTTAATAAATGTATGCAAACATAGAATGTGAAAAATAAACACGCCGAGCTAACCATTAACCACTGAATTTTTATCAAAAAATCGCTCATTTCCGATTTCAATAAAAATAAAACAATTATTGCGAATAATATTTTTGTTTTGGATATTTCCTGCCATTTCGGCGTTCCATTTTTCAACCGCAAAATATTCGCCTGAATTTTCAGTTGAATGAGCAATCCGAGGCTGCGCAATAATAAGCCGAAATTTGCCACAAAAACAAAACAAGCAGCAAACAGCTGTACACACTATGAAGCGACAAGTGAAAAACCATTGCATACATTACGGCGCTTGAAGCTAGTGCAAACGCTGCGGAAAAACGCAACAAAATCCCTACTCACTGAGCAAACACRCGCACACACATTAGTCCCTTAAATGTATCTGKTCGTGTGTGTGTATGCTTCATTTGRGCGTTTATGTGGAATAATGCAGTTAATTTTATTACTCCTATYCTAGCCAAAGCAAAGTGGAAAAACTAGAGTATGTGTATTATTTATGTTTGTAGTTTGAATTGTTGTCGTACTTTCACAGATAAACCGCAAACTAAATACAAAACATCGAAACCGATATTTTACGCGTGTAACTTCATCGTCGTCTAATGTGTGTATGCGCCTTCAGGCGGAAAACTAATACAGAGTGGTTGAAAATCGCACTATCGAATATTTCACATCATAAAGGGTGTGATTTTTAGAGGTATATAACTTTGACTTCTACTGCTCGCTTTATTTTTAGAATTATGATTATTATTATTTTTGTCATCATCAGCACTTATTGAATCGACTAACAACCATAAGGTAGTGTAACGTTATCTAATTTCGTGACCTAACTGATCAATTGACAGCCTTATTTCTCGATAATATTCGGGTTTCAAACTTTTTATGAGTAAAAACAAGAATTTTTTTTTGTTTGCTTTTGGACTGAACTACTTAGCACATTGGCGTTAGCTGCGGATTTGTGCAACCAAATAAACGGGAATGATTTGCTTTTGCACTCACCACTGACGGTTACATTCACTCAGTTTTCTGACAACAAGAAGCTTCTTCAAGGCTGTTTGGACTCCCAGTGCAAATAGTTTTCAAATCTAAGAATTTGATTTGACGATAAAAATATAAATATGTCATACACTTATGTATATAGAGCCAGGTTACTCAGGCAGTGGCTCAATAAAACAATTTGAGGATCTGAGAGAAAAACGCTGGGCAGAATTTCCTCGGAACTACCTGCAGTTGCATTTTTACGTATAGTATACTATGTAGAGAAATTAAGGCGAGAGATTTACCTCACCACAGAAACATGTGCTAAATTGTCAAAACGTATAATTTAATTTTTTTTCTAAATATTTTTATAAAAAAAAATTAAAACTTCGGTTACAGTTTCGGCTAAAATTTCTTTTAAATTTTCAGTTTGAGTAAATTGAGTATAATTAAATTTAAATTATTTTAAATTTTTTAAATTTTCGAAAGTCATTTGCTGGTATACGAGTATAAAAATATGTAAAGAAATATCGAATATTGATAATTTTCATCATATACGTATATTCTCCTATTTAACCAAATAAGGCTTAAGAAAAAAACTTTAAACATGAAAAAACTCACTTCAATACGCGCTTAAGTTGGCATTCAGTTGGTTTTAGAATGCTTTAAAAATGGAGTATATTCATATTTGCAATATTTCAAGTGAAAGCGTTACTCAGACTAATTCACACTCACCAAAGCAGCTTTTCATATTCAATGGTCATGAAATTAATTAATAATGCATGCTTCCAACGTGCTCATTCTACACTTACCTCGATCAATTACGGCGCAGAATTTATCGTCAAATGTGTTTGTATCTTCTGTACGAAATCTAAAAAAGAAAGAAATTAAAGTTAAATATGAGAAGTTGTAAGCATTTTTAAATGGATTCAATTATAATGTGAACAAGCTTATACTTATGCTTGCTCTCATATTATATCATAATACTATATATAGGTATATTAGATAAGAGTATCGTACATGTATGTATATCTTTAACCAATTTTTTGCACCCTTTCAGCAAACACTTTTTTATAGAACTTATGCAGAATGCATAATTAGATAATTAGAGTAAAGTAATATTAGTATATATAATATATATATATATATATGTGTATGTATGTGCCCAAAAAATAAGGTGACATTTGAATTTAAACTGCTCGCGTCGAAGGAGAATTATTTTATTTTTTTGGTAGTACTGTCAGTCACATTTACGTCAAATTTCATGTCAAAATATTCATTAGTGTTTGAGATACGTGTCGTTTTGTGAACTGCTAAAAGTGAGTTTTTCGTGAGCAAAGAATTTGCATTAAATTTTGTTTACGGAATCAATTTTCTGCTGCGGATGATGACATGGCTATGTCTAAAAAAAATGTTTACAAGTGAGTTCCAAGCCGGCCGTGAACGGGTCGAAGGTGAAGAGCGTCCAGGGCGACCATCAACTTCAACCGACGAAGCTCACGTTCAAAAAATCAAAGATTTGGTGTTGAAAAACCATCGATTAACAATTAGAGACCTTGCTGATGAAGTTGGCATATCGAAAGGCTCAGCCTTATTACTTTGAAGGGGATGAAATGGATTTGGACGTGATGTGCGAAACAAAGTTTCATTTTCATCGGTGGCATCAGGAATTTCATAAACATTAAAATTGCATATAATACACACACATATAACTTTTATGAATGCTGCAAAGACATTAATTCCCCCACCGACGGTATTATCGTTAACGGTATATCGTGAAATGCAATTACGCCGTGTCGGCACGCATTGCCAATTAAAACTGAAAAGGGCACCAAACAGGGGGTACATGTCGACAGTTCCCGCTATTCGCACAGAATACAGAAATACATATATCTCTTCATGGAAGCAATATATGGTGCACACAAATATGGCGCGAAATAATGGGCATTGCGCAGCAGTATCTGGAAGCCAGTGTGGGGGGTGATATGACGGGATAAAACGGAATAAAACTGTTATGATTGCATTGCAAAGGTGGTGTCACAAGCATTACATACATACATACATACAGTTTTGCACATGGAATAAGTTTTTTTTTCAACAATGTAGACCACTTGCGGTCACGTGCTCCTGCGCCTCACACTTCAACTTTCCAACCAATCCTTTTAGCTTTATATTAAAAATTAATTAACACTTCTGTCCATGCTATATTGCAGGCCAAGCATCTTCTCCCCTTTACTGTGTGTTTTAATAAGGATTTAATCGCCTGGCTATCTACTATTATGGGTCATCATCATCATCTTTTGACGCTATAAGGCTTGGGGAGTTTGGATCTGCTATCTTGTGACCTCCAAACAGCTCTGTCACTTACGATTTTTCTTCACTTTTTCGTAAAATGCTTTCATATCTTCTTCCAATCCGTCGGTCCAGCTCCATCATGGTGTTCTCCTCGCCTTAGTGTTGAACGCTTTGTCTTCAACCATTTTCGTTTCTGCCTTTTCAGTCTCTGTTGTTAAACTATATAATGTTTTCACCTTTCATAAGTTGGTCAAGATCCGAGGTTTTTGTGCTGCTTTCATTACAATTAACTACAGGTTGTCAAAACTACGACATCGATACCGAACTCCAACTCGCCTGCTATAAAAAAAGATGTCCGGTTGCCATTTCCACTAAGAGGTCTGATGTTGGGAATACGGTACATAGTCATCAGAGCATGTTGTTGACAATTCTTGTCCGAATAAAAGTCCGGATCCGTTCCGATTGCGTAGACCCGACTGTCGTGGGAACGTGTAATCAGAGCCTCTTTTGTTACGGACGGAATGTACCATGGTATAAATGACATTGGCAAATGATTACCAGAGCCTTATAATGAAGTCAGGATCACATTAGCAATACCTTATAATTATAATTAGCAGTTTTTCAAATGAAAATGTTGTTAGAAAARATTTTGTATAATTTCGAACTTTTTAGCTCACCGCGGATCCGGCCGCAACCACAACCACCCTAAGAACGTCGCATGCTTTATCAGCTCCGGCAACAATGCATTTAACTTTATCACTGCAGCATTCCGTATATATTTATGTATGAATGTATGCTTGTAGTATTTAAATGCATATTTTTTGCAAATAATCGTGGCTTCCACCCACAGACGTGCTTATGAATATCTGGACGGCAAGAAGTCGGTGCGGTCAATTACCCAACCAAGTAGCAAATTACAATCTCTGATCAGCAATAATTTCCTGTTGCATATATCTGCACACACACATACATACATATATAATCATGCTAGCAAAAGTATCTGCTCACTGAAGCGTTTCCAAGTTACAGTCATTTCTGGTTAATGACAGCTTCGGCGGATGAAAAGTGAAATCGCCACAATGCAATGCCGTTTTGTTTATGAGCTAATTTAATGCTATCAGGAATGCAGCAACGAGCAAGCAACACACACACACCTACTTAGCGATAGAGCGGTTTGCCTTCCTGTCAATCGGGCAGTCGAAGAGCTGCAAACGTCAACGTGGCATTAGCAGTTCCCACCAATAATCACAAAGTTAAGTGATCGGCCATTGGCAGACGCTGTGACGAGTCACGCTCGATTGCATAACCTAACAATCGATTGGCAGCAGTTGAAGCAGATAGCGTGCAATTGCTGCAAGTATTCGTTTAAGGCTTCAATTTCACAAATACTTCAAAGAATGAAAGTAAAGTTATGTCAGAGATATACATATTTACCTATCGAGGTAATTGCCTTTTCCAAATGATTGTTCATCTCAGTGAGCAATTGTGCTCATCGCGGAGACAGTTCGGGGCTAATGTAATAGGTCATACAAATTGGAAAGATCTTTTGCTTAAGCAGTAAGAAAATCTATCTGAGGTAATATAAAAAAACCATTGTATGCCGAGCCGCTCTATCCGAAACAAGGTTTTACCAGGGTGATTTTCTCTCATGCGTCTTTTTCAATATAATGCTGGAAATGTCATAGGTGCCGCGAATCTGGACGGCGGTGGTATTGTCTACCCTAAAAGTACAGCACTACTAGGGGTGTACTGATGATATTGACAACGTAAGCATTAACAACAGAACTGTCAGTGCAGCCTCTTCCATCTGCAAAAAAAAGCGATGTGAAGGAGGACAAGACAGAGCGCTTGAAAGTCGCATACAAAGATACCTCGTCCCTTAGGAAGTACGTCTCGGTTCTAGATACATACCAGCATAAATTCCACCAATAAGCTTAGTCTGCACATCAAGCGACAAAAACCATTGTCAGCGGGTACTATTTTGGGATCAATAGGCATATGAAAAGCAGAGGGATCGACGAACAAAAAGTTCGCTCCCATTATTGTCGCCCTATTATACGGCGCAGAAATGTGGACATTGACAACCCGAATTATGTTCTGCGCGAGCCCTTTTCAGCCGTTCACGTGGGCAATGAATATCGAAGAAGATGAAACCAAGAACTGTATGAGCTCTACTGCGGCATGGAATCGCATACAAATCCAACGAATGCGCTAGTTAGACCATGTATGGATGATACAGCGAAAAGTTCGAAGTTTCGACGCGAGACAATGGACAATGGAAGCAAGAGCACCCTCGCATACTATGGAAGAACTGAGAGTATAACAACCTGTCAATACTTGGGTTGTACAACTGACGTGACCTCGCAAAAGGTTATAGTGGGAAAGAAGAAGAAAAACTAATTGTGAGTCCGATTTTCAGAACGGAGGAATTTAACCTTCAAAACACAAGCTTTGAACTTCAGAGCCGTCATTGTGTGAAACTCTTTTCATTGATGGTAACATTAAGTTTTTGTCAATAATTGAGCACTGACACTTGAAAAACAAGCCCCAAGGGCTTGGTGAAATGTGTCTAACTGAAAACGCGAATAAAGCAATGTAAAACTAATTGAAATCACATAATCTTGAAGCAATATAATCACAACATTTTATTCATATTATACAATCACTAACATAAGCTATGTACATATTCGAATGCTTATAAACGCAACGGTAAGCCAAAATTTAAAAGTCACTTAGATCAGTTTAGAATAAAGCCACTTTTTCTTGAAACTTAACGAATTGTTTGAACTACTCCAGAATTTTGTAATGTGTCAGTTTGCAGAAAAGCATAAATAATAATATTTCTTTGGCATTGAAAACGGCTCTAAAAATCCTTTACGTCATTCATGTCAAACCACTCTCTGTATCTCTTCTCGAATAAATTTGCGTTTTGCTTATTGCCGATAATGAAAACTACAAATCGCTACACAAATATGGAAATAATTGCTTGCAATTTGCAATTTTGTGACGATAAATCACTGGAAACTCTTTCCCTATCAAATCATATACTAAATGGAAATGCTGAAATCCAACCGAGCAGCAAAGTGAAAAAAATCATGGATTGATTACTCTCGTCGAAAAGGTATGATTGTGTTCGTTTATGCTCGTGGAATGCCCATTTTCCAAAACGCATAGAAATATGCGCCCAAAATAGATTCAATTGCACTGCACAACAAATCATTATGCTCTCGCTTTTAGCAAGTTTTAATTACATTTCATGACGGATGTTTGGAAATGCGCTTGCAAATTCATTTCCATCGAATACTATATTTGTTGTAATTGTATGCAAAAAAGGAAATGTACATGAAATTGAAATGGATTGAAATTAAATTTCGGAAAACATTGCTGAAATGGCGTCATGGAAAGGGCGACGCGAGCTTGTGGCAAGCACTTTGTGCGTTGCAGAAGTGCAAAAGTGTGCTGTGTTTAAGCGGATACGCGCAGGGCCAGGTGGGTGGATTGGTGCGACCAATAAGTTTTCATTGCACAACATTTCATTAAACCATTTTCGATACACAAACACGTAAGTCAAGCAAA